CAAAATATCTTGTTAATTAACAAATTGACTAAATAATTATTAAATTGTGTAATTTACATCGAATTAATTGTAAAATTCTTTAATTAACTATTTTATTGTTATTAACATTAATAATCATTAATTTCAAATAATGTATAAACAAAATATTCAATTTTTATTGTATAAAATATGTAAAAATCAGAAATATGTTAAATTTAAGGAAAATAACCATTTTTGTAAATTCTAGAAATTGGAGTTGGAAGGGGAGATGAAGTTGAGGAAGGTCAGACTCAGACCCTTTTAAAAGATCCTCCTACGCGATAAACCCCTAAAAATGGGACCAATCCAAAATTAACCAACCTCTTTTTCCCTTTCTACAACCTTTTCCTCCCTAAATTTTCCTCCCTTAAGAAAATCAGTAGTGGGAACATTGACATAAATACCCGTGTTCCTTAAGGAAAATTCAGTTCTTGAACAATCATCAACTATAACTTAGAGTTCTCCTCAAGTTCTAGTTCAAGTTCAAATTCTAATTTCAAGTTCTATATTCAAGTTCTATATTCAAGTTCTATATTCAAATTCTATTTTCAAGTTCTATATTCAAGTTCTTTATTCAAGTTCTATATTCAAGTTCTAATTCTATTTTCAAATTATAAATTAAAATAATAAAAGAAGAATCCAAGATCGACTTTATCTCTGCTTCCAGTTCCAATTTCAACTGAAAAACATCTTTAAAGTGTTATTAAAAAGTGAGTAACAAATTAATTTTGCGGTGTTCTTTCTTTTCCTACCTTCTTTAAAAATTATCTTTATTTTACAAAATTCCATACGTCTTATGTGAATGTATGGAATAGTTTTTATTAAAATCTTTATTTTACAAATTACATACGTCTTATGTGAATGTATGGAATCGTGTCTATTAAAATTCTTGTCGTTTCTTCATTAATTGAATCAAATAAGAGAAATAATCATTGAAATTATTCCCAAGCTATTGGACGCAAGTCTAGGCTTAAAATAAATAAAATTAAATAAAAGTATCATTACGAACCTTAAAATTATTTTTTTTTGGGACGTAACAGGATGATGTATGTAAAGCAATTGATCAAAGGATGGTCACAATAATTGTTTTCTTTGATTTTAGTAAGGCCTTTGACATGGTGCCTCATACTCTTTTGCTATTGAAACTTAAATCTTTTGGATTGTCAAATTCTGTCTTAAGATGGTTTGCTTCATATCTGTCTGGGAGAATGCAGGCTGTTGTGGACCAAGGGGGGGAATTTTTATATTGGGGAAATATTGGAACGGGAGTACCTCAGGGATCGGTGCTGGGTCCCTTATTATTTAACCTTTTTACGAATGACCTAAGGGATGTTTTAAAATACTCTAAACATATGTACTTCGTGGACGATTTACAAATTTATATTCATTCTAGTCTAGATAATTTAAACGAAAATCTGGCTTTAATAAATAAAGATGTGAAGTCGGTACTAGATTGGGCATCAACAAATTTTCTTAAAGTAAATACTGATAAAACTTATATGATAATTGGATCAACTTGGTATACAAATAATATCAAACTAGATGGTAACTTATTAATTAGGATTAATGATATTACCATACCTTTTGTTGATTCAGTTAAGAATTTGGGTGTTATATTTAGACCGACTCTCTGTTGGGACAAGCAAGTTGGTAAAATTTGTAAAAGTGTTTATGCAACCTTGTCACAATTTAAGGGGGATAAAGGAGCTCTTACTGTTGACATTCGAATAAAACTTGTTACTTCGTTGATTTTTCCTCATTTTGACTACTGTTGCGCTGTTTATAATGATTTAACTGATGAATTAAATCAAAAACTTAAGAAGCTTCTTAATACATGTATAAGATTCATATTCAACTTAAAGAGGGATGAACATGTAACACCATATAGGTTAAGACTTGGATGGCTTAGTGTTAGGAAAAGAACACTTTGGCTTGTTGGTTGTTTTACACAGGTTATCCTGTATACTAAAAAACCTTTATATTTGTATATGAGAAATTTATTTTTAGAAACGATGTTACTTCGAGAGAGGTGAGGTGTCCTAATTTATTTAGGATACCATCACATAGAACTGAACGATATTATAATTCTTTTATGATAACTGCAATAAATTTGTGGCATTCTCTTCCGGGCTCTATTACTACTATCGAAAGTCCAAAAATTTTTAAGCTTAGATTATATAAATATTTATTTTTATTGGATGAGTAGAATCTTGTTATTATGACTCTTGCCATTGTTAAAATTTTTTGTGAGTGTAATATTGAAGATTGTTTATCATTGTTGAAAATATTTTATGAATATTATTTTTATGTGTGTTTTTTCTTTTATGAACATAATGTATATTTTGAATTTTTTATTTTTGCTGAAAATTGTATTTTAATTATTGTTCTTGTGGCTTGCCTGGGACAAAATAAATAAATTATGAATTATGAATTATGAATATGGTTCTTAAGAAAAATGGAGATTGGCGCCCGCGTGGTGACTTCCGTCGTCTCAGTTCAGTCAGTCACTGAGCAGAGATACATTTCTTAAGCACTTGGCGATTTGGAGTATGTCTTTGTTTATAACGATGACATTTTTATTGCTTCGTCTAACTTGGACGAACATAAGTGTCATCTTGATGAGGTTTTCTCCTGTCTTAAACGGTTTGGTTTGCAAATTAATTTTGATAAGTGTCAATTCGGAAGGTCGGAGTTGGAGTTTCTCGGTTTTTTTATTGATCATCAGGGTTCGCGACCTACAACTGTAAAGGTTGTGAGAGAAAAAAATAATAATTTTACAATGGCACATAGTGGTAATTACACAAATATTCAACAATAAAACTATTCAAAATTGAAAGTCTCAAAATCAACAAAATCTGTAAAATTCTTATTTTATTGCAATCCCTTGCTGTTCAGAGATATATGCAACTCACCTTCGGAACTGTATTTGAACCATTTAACAAAAAAAGAGAAGTTGGGCGCCAGGCTCACCGATGAGCCAACGTCACCACCAAAAATAATCCAATAGTTTGTCTTGAGGAAACAAGACCACCAGGTTAATTCCTCTAAGACTATTCGTCACCAAAAAAAACTCAAAATACCCGAATTAATCAAGCAAATTCTCAAAATAAATTTTTAATCAAACGAATGTGGTTCAAATACAATTTACCGGCACGTCACAAATTTACTCTAGCTAACTCAACACAAAACAGGGAAAGCATTGGGCATAGGGCTTTGATGGGAGTGTATATTCGCCACAAAAAAATCAAATCATAATCAATAACTATTAACAAAATTGTATTTCAAACTAACCTTCGGCTATTTACAAAAAAAAAGGTTTTTACCATGATATTATTTCCACAACGAATTAATAAAATATAATTTCGGGCCATTTTCGATAATTTAGAACGGCAAAATCAACCAAGGTTTCGCACCAAACGATCTAACAAAATATTCGAAATAGAAACGCGAAATTCACAAAATATTCATTTCCGCTAAACTAAAATATTTCACAAAATATCGGCAATATTCTACACTAAAAAATCATAACGTGGATGATTACAAAAAAAATCATGATAATCTACTTTATTTTACAAAGGAAAATCATCACTAACGAAAATTAAATTCTACTCAAAAAAAACGCGACATTTTGAAAACTTACTATGCAAAAAAGAAAAAGGTCGCTACACGAGGCATCACGAAATTTCTCAAACTCAAGAATATACATTTTACACACAATAATCAAAGTAATGATTCGAAATGAACACCATTATTATTTATTAAAATCAAGTTAAGTCATTTTAGACTATTTTAAAACCGCAAAAGAACTTAAGAAACCACGAGGTCAAAAGTGGCGTCATTTCGAAAGGAAAAGTGTAAAATCCACATTCTCTATGCAAAGAAGAACATTTTATTCAGCAATATAAATAAAAAATGAGAATGTGAATCTTTACATAATTGAGTATCGACTCACCAAACAAATGTAAATCAGCTACGGCTCTCAAAAGACCCACAAACGACGAAGTTCCTCGTGTTGGACACTTGTTTCTTTACAAACGCAGCGAATGACAATCAAATTTTCACAATTCTAATCTCTGTGAGTGCTCTCGCAAGTGTATCGAGCACGTTTTTTCGTAGATTCGCCGGTAGCGTCTAATGACGAGCCCAACCAAACCTACGGTGCTCGCGCGCGCCAATAGTTCGTGACAGCGCCGTGGCGGCAAAACAATTCAAATTCAAAACGATATAATTCGACAAAACGCAAATTAATTATTTTGATCATTCAAACATCCATTCTATATAATAATAGTAATAACCGTAGAACGTAAATGCAATATGACAAAAATTCGGCAATATAGTAATTAATATAGCAAGTTATTTAAATTCAAAATTTATAAATTCGAAGTATCGACCACAACGATAACTAGATAGCTAATCTAATATTTAATTGACTAATTAATCCATGAACTAAATTAAGTAAATATAATTAATTACAAAAGCGAAAAATTACAGCAATTAAATAATTGCAAAAATCATTTTAATTCAAATCAAAATACGTAAATAAATGCACTAATTTTAATTAGCAAGACTACTAAGTTTTTATGCTAATAAAAATTACCAAACCACAAAATTAGCAAAACTTACTACTCCAAAATATTAGCAAAATTAACAAAATAAAATTGCCGAAATTAACCAAATTTAGCAAAATAACCAAAATTAGCAAAATTAAGCAATCTTGTTGGTGCACCCAACATTAACTGGTAACAGCATATGGAAGTGGCTCATCCATGTGAGTGGTGTGCGTGTCAAAATTCCAAAATTGGATTTGGTCCGAAACCAAACCACTTGATGTGTTAAGAACAACAGGCGAAAACAGCCAAATATTAAAATCCTCTCCAATATCCAAAATATGGCAAAAGCAGCCGAAATACGGCATCCACAGGCCAAGATACAGCACCAAATAGGCAACGATAAAAACAAGGTCGTCACAACCCCAAAATAAAATGCGAGATCGAACTGCCAGCAAAGCACCAAACAGCCAAAGTGCGGCAGCAAATCGCCAAAATGCGGCATCGAACAGCCAAAGTGTATCGAGAGTAAGTGTGCGGCGTCAAACAGCCAGCAGGGCATCGAACAGCCAGTGTGATGTATGGTTGGGCCAGAAACTCCTCCAAGACTACTATCGTTCCTTAGTTGCGGTGGTGTAGAATAATGTCCAAAAATAGCTCACAGCGAACATAGAAAAAAAATAATGCAGTAAACAAAAAAAATAATAATAAGCGCAAAATCATTGTGGTCGATCGTAGAGCAGAGATTAACGCAGAAAAGTGTCCAACAGGAGAAGACCATTTTCTCCTAAATTTAATTTCTCAAATTATTAACTCGGATGTAACGTGTAAAAAAGTTCACGTTACAAGGTTCAAGCCATATTGTCTTATCCTAAGCCTGATAACGTTACAAAATTGCGTAGATTCTTAGGACTTCCCAACTTTTATCGGCGTAGTATCCGGGGTGCTGCTGCAATTCTTGCTCCATTGAATGCTTACTTGACCAGCTCTAAGAAAAATGACAAGACTTCGATTCTCTGGAATCCTGACGCTGACTTCGCTTTTGAGAAAATTAAAACTGAGATTGACAACGTAGCTCTCCTTTTTCATCCTGAACATGACGCTGAAACTAGACTCATTACCGATGCCGCCGACTTCGGAATGGGAGCTGCTCTCGAGCAATTCATTTCAGGTGCTTGGAGACCTTTGGCTTTCTTTTCTAAAAAATTTACATCTTTTAGAAAAAATTATAACACCTATGACCGACAGCTTACTGCTATTTTCAAATCAATAAAATATTTTTTCTATTTTTTAAGTTCTCGTAATTTTCTAATTGTTACTGGTCATAAACCACTTATTTTTGCATTCAAACAGAAAACTGAAAAATCATCACCGCGACAGCAGCGTCAGTTGTCCTTTGTATCGGAGTTTTCCACTCGCATCAAACATCTCTCAGGATCGGATAATGTTGTTGCGGACGCATTGTCCAAGATTGATTTGATCAAATTGTTTTCTGAAATCGATTTTTCGGAGCGTTTTGTTTGGCCTGAGATGCACAAGCAAATTTCTAAGTTTTGCAAGGCATGTCTTGATTGTCAGAGAGCTAAGATCTCAAGACATAATATCGTCTTGCCGGCTCAATTCGTTGCTCCTGAATCGCGGTTTGAACATATTCACATGGATATAGTTGGACCTCTCCCGATTGACAATGAATTTCGCTATTGTTTGACTCTTATTGATCGTTTCTCTCGCTGGCCCGGGGCGATTCCAATTAAGAATATTGAAGCTGCCACCGTCGCACACGCTTTTGTCAACACATGGATTTCTCGTTACGGTACTCTTAAAACAATAACTACCGATCAAGGCACTTAATTTGTGTCGAGATTATTTTCTTCTCTACACCAATTATCAGGTTGCTACAGAGTCCGCTCTTCTGCCTATCATCCCGCATTCAACGGGATGGTAGAACGATGGCATAGGACTCTGATAGCTGCCATTATTTATTTATTTGTTTTATACACCCGTCTTAAGCTTATCTAGCTATACAAATGTGTTTACATTTCTCTTACAATATTTCTTATAAATGTATTTCTTAATACTAAGTTTGCGCCTACAGAACGTCTTGAAATTAGGAGTACTCGCATTTGCCTAGACTACCCAATGGGTTTTCTCGCCAGTGGAGAGGGAAACTGTAGAAAACCTCTCCTGAGTACAACCGGTTTATCGACAGTCTAGTTCTAATGGTGTGTACCGGACAATAATCGATGGTGCACATCATTATACCTCGACGTCAAACCTCCCGCTCAGGATAGCTGCCATTATGTGCCATTTCGATTCGGGTTGGACTCGAACTCTTCCTATCGTTTTTTTAGGATTAAGAACCTCCGTTTTAGATTGTCGGGCATCTCCTGCAGAGTTTGTTTTCGGTAAAGTGTTGCGAATTCCCGGTGAGTTCGTCCTGCCGGATGACCATTCTGTCGAGCCTTGTGCTTTTCTTAACGAATTCAGAGATCATATTCGTGTCGTTAAGCCTGTCCCAGTCACTCATCATTATAAGCGTAAAATTTGTATTCCTAAGGATTTGGCAACTTGCTCGCATGTCTTCGTGAGAATTGTTCGCGCCTTAAAAAAATCGTTACAATGTCCATACGTTGGACCTTATAAAATTGTAAATCGTAGTACGGACCGCGTTTTTGAAATCGATATCGAGGGAACTCATAAACAAACTTTCATTAGGAACCTTAAACCTGCTCATATTGCTCGTGAATCTACTAAGATTTTGAATTCGGAATTGCCTGCGACTATACCTGACAGGATCAGTGCGAATCCTGATTTTCAATTTTCTAATTTAGGAGATAATCAGGAACGTCCAAATCGTTGTTTAGCCCCTTCGAAGCACAGCGAGCCGTATGGCTTTTTTAATTAAAAATTTTTATTAGATAATATAGCACTATAAATAAATAAATGCTAACAAAAAAAATAAATAAACTTTCAGAATTTTCAAATCTGACCAGATTTGCTCAAAACTAGTTACTCAGGGGTTTTTGGGGTCGCAGATTACGAATCTGAAGTTACTTTTTAAAAATTTAAAATGGCGGATCCAATATGGCGGACTAAATTTTTAATTTGATCAAATTCGTTTAAAACTTGTTACTCGGGATGTTATAGGGGTCGCTGATTACGAATCTGAAGTCACCTTTAAAAAATTCAGGCTGGATCACCAGACTACCCTTTTAAAGATATTAGAAGACTATTGTTTTTCTAAAATTAAGATTGCTATTTTCTTGGTGTAATTATTTACAAATATTTTAATTTGTCAATCCAGTGAAAACGTTATTGAAAAACGTTATTTTTCTTTTGAATCGCAACCAATAGATGTTGGTTATTATTCTACTAGAAGACTATTTGAGGAGCAAATTTTCAAAAGCTGATAAATCCATTTTTAAAAAAATTAAGATAAACATAAATTTAATATTTTAAAGACCTTACAAATCGACCTGTCACTGTTAAATGTAAGAAAAAAAATTTATTAACAACAAATTTTCAATTTAAAAACTTTTTGACATAACCAAGATAACTTATAATTGTTATTTTTTTTATTAGAAAACATTATTAAAACCTTTAAATCACTTAATTATGATAATGTTTGATTAAAAACAGAACGTCTTAAATATAAAAACATTGTTATAAAAATAAATTAATACAAATTTTTTAATTTAAAATTTGCTGTAGTGGTTATGTGAGAAAAGTCATTTGTTTCATTTTCTCGAAATAAGAAAATATGGATTTATCAAGTTTTGATAACTTGCTCCTCATTTCTACAAAATACATACTTTTTACTATAATTTAATAAAGTAATAAGTTCTCCAAAATAAAATTTTACCCTGTTTAAATTATACACGAGTACATTTAATAAATAAAAAAAAATGTCTTGTAAACCTTAGAGTTAAACTCTTCACTGAGAAAACCTTATACTTTAATGAAACACATAAATTATTTTAGATAATTTTGTTTCATTAAAATTAGTTTAAAAGATTAATCATAATGCATAGAAAATGTCTACTGATTTGATTCAAAAGCATTATTTGTTTGAATAGTTATAATTAATTCGACCATATATTCTGTTTTGGTTTAAATAAAAAATTAGTTTAAAATTTTGTTTAGTTAAAGATTAAAAGTGGATTATAATGAATAATTTAAAATTCAGCATAACCTATCTTTGAATTAAATATATCATTTCTTTAAATGAAAAAATATATTTCAATCAAATATAAATACAATGTTAAACTGCAGAGGAAAGATTTTTTAAACTTGATTTAACCAAAACGGGTTTGAATCAATTAAATCGTTTCCACAGTATACACAAGCTTCCCAGTGGGCACACTTGTTCAAAAGACGTCCTAAGGATGTCTTTTTGCGGACGTCTTTTGGACTTGTACAAAAAGACGTCTTTAAGACGTCTTAAAGACGTCCTATTCATGTTCTATGTCTTGGCCATTAGATGTCTTTAAGGTGTCTAAAATACGTCTTTTTCATTCACCATTTGAAAATAGAAAAATTTTCATAAATAGAAAATATTATTTTCTAAGTTCAACTTGGACTTAGAAATTTATGAATGTGAAATTCATTGGAATTTTTCTAAGTTAAATTTATTTCATTGACAAGTGAGACCGTTAACTTTGTAGAGGTTCATATCTGTCTTGAACGGCTGAGGTGCTTAAGGCGCAGTGCTTCAAGCCCAAGGTATCCGAGTTCGATCCCAGCTTCGTAGGAATTTTTTCATTATTTCTCCACATTTTAGAAAAAATAAAATTAAACTTAAAATAAATTTAATAGAATGTTACTGAATTTCAACTTAGAAAATGTTATAAAAGAAATGTTTATTTAAGATCTGAAGGAATGTAAAAAGGACGTCCAAAAGACGTCTTTTAGACGTCCCTTTTATGTCTTTTAGACGTCCAAAAGACGTCTTTTAGACGTACTTTAGACGTCCTTTCTTATGTCTTTTAGACGTCCAAAAGACGTCTTTAAAAGAAATGTTTATTTAAGATCTGAAGGAATGTAAAAAGGACGTCCAAAAGACGTCTTTTAGACGTCCCTTTTATGTCTTTTAGACGTCCAAAAGACGTCTTTTAGACGTACTTTAGACGTCCTTTCTTATGTCTTTTAGACGTCTTTTGGACGTCTTTTGGACCAGACATAGATCGTCTTTTAGTTGTCTTTTTGATGACTCAGAGACACTGCCATCATTGTCCCCGAATCGTCCGCAGACAAAAAGGGACGTCTTTAAGACGTCTTTTAGACGTCCCTGTGCCCACTGGGTTATTTAATATATACAGTAAAACCCGGTTAATACGATCCCGTTTAATACGATTTCCCGCTTAAAACGCTCATTTATGGTGGTTCCTGCAGTTAAAGACATACATTTTATTTCCCGCCTAATACGTTTTCCCGCATAAGACGCATTCTGAGCGCGGTCCCTACAGAATCGTAATAACCGGGTTCTCTACTTTATTTACATTATAAAACAGTATGAAGATAAAATTTTTTAAAAGTATCTCCAGATTGGTAATCATTGACCCCAAAAACCTCCGGGTAACAAGTTTTAATCAAATTTCAATCAAATAACAATTTTTAATCAAATATAAAAAATTTAATCGACATATTGTATCCAACATTTTGAATTTCTAAAAAGTGACTTCAGATTCGTATGCAGCGACCCCAAAAACCCCCGAGTAACAAGTTTTAAACGAATCTGATCAAATTAAAAATTTAGTCTAACATATTGTATCCGCCATTTTAAAATTCTAAAAAGTGACTTCAGATTCGTAATCAGCGACCCCAAAAACCCCCCAATAACAAGTTTTGAGCGAATCTGATAAAATTTAAAAAATTTTGTCCACCATATTGGATCCGCCATTTTGAGTTTTTAAAAAGTAACTTCAGATTCGTAATCAGCAACCCCAAAAACCTCCCGAGTAACAAGCTTTACACGAATCTGATCAAATTTAAAATTTAGTCCGCCATATTGGATCCGCCATTTTGAATTTTTAAAAAGTAACTTCAGATTCGTAATCAGCAACCCCAAAAACCTCCCGAGTAACAAGCTTTACACGAATCTGATCAAATTTAAAATTTAGTCCGCCATATTGGATCCGCCATTTTGAATTTCTTAAAAAGTAACTTCAGATTCGTAATCAGCGACCCCAAAAACCCCCGAGTAACAAGTTTGGAATTTTTTAGAAAACATACAATAAATGGATACTACTCATGAGCGACAGGAGGGGTCCATCTCATCCACAATTGAAGATCCTGGAGGTGAAAACTTTTCACCGCGACAGGAGCTCAAAATAAACAACTTTGATAGAATGGAGTCTACTATGCTTGAACACTTAACATTCCAACTGACTGCTGCTGGTGTTTTGGAACAGGATCTGTTAACTATCAGTCAGGAACCTCCGAATCATCTGAAACCTCCAAACATACATAAAAAAAGTTAGTAACAAAACAATCCTTTTCAAGTTTCCCTTCCTTTAAACGGACGGTTGGAGCGGTTGCTGATGATGCGAATCATCATAATAGTCAGGGGACTGATGTTGATCAAGCGGGGTCGGCACCTGACCCGACCGTTCGTCCTGTTGATCCTCATAATGATCAGGAAATTCTTTTGTGGGAGTCTACAGATTTGGAATGGTTTAATGAGATTTTTGTGGATTCTTTAATCAAGTATGGTCCCTCTAATCCATCCCCGTATGTTGTGTTAATGGAGAGTACAGTACAGGGTAGGAATATAGGAAAATTAGACCCTGTGAGCGTGATTGATCTTCTGAACCCATTAATTAAAGGGAATAAGGTAATATGGAGAAACGCGA